AAACCTAGCTTAGAAACGTGATTCTGATCCTCAAATATTTCTATCAGCAGTAACATGCTTAAATTATAAATGCCTGAAACTTGTTAAACGTGTGGGATGAGAACTGCAGTGATATTTTGCTTAAGATTTACAGAGAGGTAGAAGATGAATGTATTTGCGTAATCGTCGGAGATTTTAAGCGATATTCATGGAAGGTTTTCAGTCATTCTCAGCAGTCTTGGCAGTTGTTTCCAGCAGGCTTGCATTTTCGTACTCGGGTCGGACTAACATTCACTGTTTCCATAGATTAATGTCATATTCTAGTCGAATAAATAAAGGCAGTTATGTCCTAGTAAACAGTCCACTTTGATCGTATTTACTTCAGTTTTATGTCGATTAATTTTTCCTGTTTAACTCGTATTTTAGATATTAGGGCCTCATCACCGAACTCTACTTGTCGCCATACAAAACAAAGTCCCATACTCGTTGTTGACGAACTAGGATATCTGTGTAATTATTTTAATCTCCTGACAAATAGTTGTTGCCCGTTTCAAAACTTAACACAGCGCTTTTTTTGTCATTCATGCAAATCTAATTACTGCTGTTCTATCTACGAACATTGTGTTTCTTGCTGCCTGAATCCAATTAATGTAAGTTACAGCTTGCTATTGTAGTACTTTTTACTATTTTTCAAAATTTAAATGTTACTAAATAAGATCATCTGAAGCTCCAACCACAAGTTTTTAGTTCAGTTCCCGTTTTATTAACCAATGTTTAAATAATTAGTTGTCACCTTTAGCTCTTATAAAATAGATTGACGCGACCTAAATGTGCGTTATTATCGAATTAATGTAAGTTTGAACTCAATCATCTCTACAACCCTATAGTGAGAAAACTTGTTTAACTTTGGTTTTAATAGTCCGTAAAAGATACAGTTCTGTGTAGACTCTTCTGTGGAACGTAACCATTGAATTGGATTTGCATCTTTAAGATGAGCTTGGTTAACAAATTTCTGGGTTGGCTCTGAATATCGGAAGCCAATAAATAGAATAGAAGCCTCGACCCAGTATGCAAAACATGCCACTGACCTCAGAAATATTTACACGAAAACTTAATCGTAGTTTCGAGGTATGTGTATACACATATTACATGTATCTGCAAAATCGGTTTTTGTATTTTGATGGCACACCACCTGAACATGACATGCAAGTAAAAACATTCTAAATAACGAGTACAAAAATATCTCTGTCATATTGAGATTCTCAGAAACCGTGACAACTAGAAGGCTAAAACATAGACCTTGCGTTTAACAAAAGTCAGTTGTTTACATTCAACTACCCCGGAGTGACTGAAACGACATGTGATTAACTTGCCTTTTTTTTAACATTTTTCATTCAATTATGACTACAACTCAATGTGTCAAGTTTTAGCTTTCCATTTTCTTATTTTTGTAAATTCCTAATAAACAATATTCTTGAACTGTCATTTTACTTATCGATAAATACTTTGCTAAATCTCAATTTCGACTCCATCAAAACTCTTTCAAAAGATTTCCTGCAACGTTATGAACAGTTCATCTTAATTTACAAGTATACTAAATGGAGACTTATCTTTGGAGCTCCTTATAGGTTGGTATCAGTGGTAACTCTTAATGGTATGGGTTCTGTTCACTTAATTCTGAACGAATCAATGTCGACTCGGTGGTCAGAACGTTTGACTTTCTGTCGTTGAGTTTCATTTTGATTAGAATTTGAATTGATTCGATTTTTATTTTCAACTAGGCAAATATTAAGCTGTATTTCTCTTTTATGTTACATTTAAGAAATCCCTGTGGGATAAAGTTCAAAATCTTAGTGCTAACTATAAACGTCATCTACAATTAGCTACAGATGCATTCGAATTTTGTATAGCAGTTTGTAGAACTTCTTCACTAGTAAGTATTTATTATTGCTAGAATTGATTATTGTTAATAGTAGTTTTAACTTTGTTTATATTATTCCTATGTTCTTATTTACGCCTCTAATAGTAAGCTTACCAACTCCGTTACTCAATTTTTTAATGAGATCAATAATCCCCCAAATGCCCTGGTATGGCCGAGAGCGGGGTGGGTCCGCCCTCCCTCTCGAAATACTCTCACACGGCTACGCGTATACAGCCTTTGCCAGGGAAGTCCTACTCACTGCCTTCTCGTGGCGGGGACGAAAAGCGAATATCCGGCGCTTTAACCGGACCCCAAACCACTGGTGCACATGGGCTCCAGTATCCTGCGGGAACAAATGGCGTATGAACCAATCTTTGGTCACCGGCTACCATGGGACTGCATCCTCCTTACAATGCTCCACTACCTTGTGGGTTAGACTTTTAGGTCAAAGGTTCGGGGTGTGGCCCCCTAAGATAACCACCTGCTTCGGTCTGGGCACCTGGGCAGTATCACAGCCCACACGCAAATGATAAACTCTCTATATCTATGGAAACTACTTTTCTCGCAAACTTCCACATTCATAAGCTTCTAGTTAGAACACTAAGAACCCCAGGGAGTGGTCGAAATTACCTTTATTTGTTTAGATCCATAACTCAATGTGTTAAATAAAAAACAGGACCACAACACAACCATAGTACAAATATTAATAGATACGTAACTAAGATATTTCTAATTCTAATCTGAGTAACAAATGTATAGTCAGTAGGCTGAAAAGCTTATAATTAAGGCTATACAATTCTCATCATATGACTACCTGATAAATAATCATTAAACTGTACCATCTTGTTCGCCAAAAATTATCTGTCCATATTTCAAATTTCTCTTTCCTTTTGTCTTCCTAAGAATTATCATTACGCGAAATGTCTTGGTGTTTTGCATTGAATTTAATGTCTCCTTGTGTTGCATTGGCTAGTCTTCTCACTAGATAGCTCATTCAATTAGGTAGTACCGAAGTAGATGTTCGTTAGAAATATCCAACTCAATCCAGTTTCCTTCATTTCCTTTAACAGGCTTAATTCGTAATAGAATTAAGCTTAACACTACGATGTTTACCTAACACCAGTCAAGCTTCAAGTAAAAGTTGACGTGTTCTGATTTCTATCACTCAATAATTATGACAGTTTATGTCGTTTGGGTTTTACATATCACTAAAATGCAAGCATATTGCCGATGAATGAAGGGATTCTCCTTTCCATTATTAGGAATTTAATATCATGGTTCCAACAGTAAACAAGTTGAATTCCAAAGGTCTCCTTAAGGTCAAAACAATGCGAGTCATGCTAAAATGCATGAAGCTTAATTTAACGGCTTGTCAATCGCATCCTATTGCAAAACTCAATCTGTCGGGAATTTGAGTCTGTATTTCTTAGGTGATTACAGTTAATTATTTACAGAACCTCCTACACACTATTAAATCTTGTACATTTGCACTGTTGCATTTTAGAGTGTCTTGCATGAAAATCGGTATCGCAATTTAGAAGAACTTTATTGCTTTGGGCTGAAAAGTTCAAATACTCCAACACACTGATTGACTTATCAGTAAATTTTTATAGATTGTAAGTCTTACTTCTATCTACATAAATTTCCCATTCTGATTGTAGAATAACCTTACCATTGTATGTTTATTCAGGTGACTAGTCTCAAACAGAACAAGGGTGTGAGTAAAGATGGATGGTGGGTAGCAGTGAAATCCAGGACGCGCGTTTCGTCCTGTTTTGAACTCGTCAGCTGGGTGTACATACATTTGAGTTGGTGTTCACTCCGGGACTCGAACCCAGCACCGTCCGTTTCAAATGCCATCACGTTATCCGCTTAGCTACTGAATCCTGATAGCCACTAGATTGTGAAATGGGGCGAAGTTTAAATTCATTTTGTTTTGTTTGTTTGAATCTTCACATTGATGCTTAGGACTGCAGTTGATTTACACTTCCCCATCGTATAAGCTAGTGGCTATTGAGACTCAGTAGCTAAGTAAATAAGACAACGGCGTTCTAAGCGGACGGTACTCGGTTCGAGTACCAAAGTAAACATCAACTCAGATGCAAGTGAATCTAGCTAACGAGTCCAAAATAGGACGAAACGCGCGTCCTGGATCCTACTGCTGCCCACCACCCATCTTTGCTGATAATGCTTGTGACCTAAGGCAACATCGAGGCAATCCTCACAGGTTGTACATATGCCAATGACAGACTGACCAATTGCAGTCATAAACATCAATGGGAAGATTCAAATAAACAATCCAAAATAAAAACAAGGGTGTGTTATGGGCTGCAGTGCTATTGTCCACATAAAATATTATCACCGATTCGTCTCAGTAAGCATATTTTACTGATTAGTGTCAGTAAAAGATTTAGACGTAGTTTGTAGCAGAACATTGATAAACTATTTTCGTACTTCTTCCATTTTGTTTTTGCTTTTTTGTTTTTTGAACTTTGCATTTGACATATTCTCAACATTCATCTATTGACTCTTACACAATTACTATTCTACTGACCATTCATCAAAATATTCTGTTCCTTCTCTTCTTCATACATTATGCAACGTAGCAGCTTCTTGATTTTCGAACAATTACTTTGATTATTATTAATCCTCTTTCTTCCAATTACCCAATGTTAATTTATGATCGAAATGTCATTATGTAATTATTACGCAACGTATCTACTGGATGAGTATTATTTCATTATTGTAAATCATATATATATATATATATATATATATATATATATATATATATATATATATATATATATATATATATATATATATATATATATATATATTGAAAAGAAATTTCTTCGCTCGATTCGTACCTTCTTTATTTACGAATTACAGTCATTTAGTTAACTTCTGTCTATGAATTTAATTGTGTTCTTTCCTTAATTCCAAAAAACCAGTATCACAATGCTTTCTTTTAACTATGTTTACTGTAGTTTTAAGGTAGAGTTTACATGGATTAAAAAGAATATTTTAAAGTTATTTTCACCTTTATTAAAATATCTTGATCAGTATCGTCATTTTCTTCATTTATACAGTCATCAATATGTCACTAGATCATTGTAAAAATTTGGCCTACTATCTACTAACTACAAATTATGCTCCATATCAAAATGAAAAGTTGCAACACTTGTTTGGTGATATTAATGATGATAAAAGTAGTAAAGCACAGAGAAAACCTCTTTCGAAAGCTCCTACTACTGCAAACACCACTAACAGTGTTACTGTCAACATATCATATGGAGATAATTCCTTGCCTGTATTATCTAAAAATACTCAACAAAAGAAACATTATAATTTCTTAATAAAAATGCTTAAACGTGACAGTCTCTTACCAGAATCACTATGGAATAACGTAAGTGAACTTTCGTGGGCTATATCTTGAATGTGTGTACGTTCAGAGTGTAATATTTTCCTTCAACTTATTTGTCCATGAAATACGTTCTTATCTATAATTGTCGGCATACAACATCGTGAATGTAAGAATCAGTTGGAAGCAACTGTTTAGCGGTCAAATTAAATCGTCTTAGATCAGTAGTCATCAAAGTAAGTTACTCTTACAGTGATGTACCTGTAAGATTCAGTGCTCTGTGTTTTTTGCATATAAGATCCTAGTATAAGTCTATAACTGCTCTATTTTCAAAAGCAAAGGATTGAGTTAGGCATTATGTAAAGTATAATCACAGAAGGGCAACACCACCTGTTTAATATGGAGATTATATTTAAATGTCTTTATTATGGCAACTAGATGGATCGATAAGTTGACAACGAACATATTTTATCGAATGGTAATGATGTACCAATAAGTACTCCGTTTCCTCAGTTTGGTTCTTATAGACCTTCAGCAATATTATATGGTAACATAACTCCAGAGAATTACTTGTGTCCGATTTTTTACTGCTACTTTTTATCGATTCATAATTCACTGAAAAGGTTATTAGCTTGACGTTGATTAATCAAAAAGAAGAACAATTGTTAAATGCACACTTATTGTGAATTGGTTTGAACGAAAGAAACTACTGGGAGAGATAAGGAGTATTATACAACTATTTCACTCTAGTCTTAAACTCCTTAGCGGTCCGCACATATACGACTTCATACCTAAAGCGGATTCCAATAATTCACCTCATATATAACTAATATATTATCAGCAAGTTACTCCCTCCTTATAATCGGCTAAGTTTTGGGGGTGAAGATTTGTCACTGGAATTTCCGGAAATCTGTTTCTAGACTATTCACTAGTGAACACACGATCATTAGTATTATGTTGGTTTTGTGCGGATCCTCTCATTACTAACTGAAAATTAACTGAAAACAAAATCCATTATGTAAAATTTATCTGATAAGATTTTTTGATGAAGTAAAGTAAGCTTTTGCTCCACTAATAAGCATCTAAAGAGTATTAACTTCGCAGTATACAGACGAACTCGTGTCAACAATGTCAATCCTCAATTTTACATAACTATCATCCATTGTTATCTGTGATACCTGTATCATACATAGTTGAATCCCATCGCTTAAATTGTTTCACAATGGGACTTTGGGGATTTTCCTTGAAACCTGTGACTAGTGATATAGTTGATTGCTGAATGTTAAGGTAGTTCACATTAGCTGACTGACTTAAGTTATAAAAATATTCTTTCTGTATTTATCTTGTGGTTGTTTTAAAATAATTCAATAATTTCATCATTCTTTTTTCTATTCTGTCTAAAGGTTTATAATCAACTATGTGATAATTTTGTTTGTGAATTAAATTCTTTGCATCGGAATTTTCATCAACTCACATCTACAAGTGCATTTGTTAATTATGTTATTCAATATCTGGGACGTTCATTTAGCATGAAACATAATATTATTCAGTTAACCGATATTGGATTATCAGAGTCATTTAAACATAATATTGACAATACTTCAGTGAGTAATAAGCTTCGTTTAGTTTGTGTTAAAAAAGTTTGATTAGTTTCTTCATTGGTTGTATAGCTTTAAATGATCTTAAATTGTTTGTTGTATACTTCCATTTATTGGTGATTTTCCTCTTTTTTTTATATCTATGTTATTCCTTTAGTTTTGCAAACTATTTTACAAACATTTAAAATTACATGTGTATGTAATTTGTGTACTTGTTTTCTGAAATGTTTTTTTGACTTTATCTATTCTCATAATGCTTCCCATGTTTATTTTTATAGATCCAGAGTTATTCTTTTTACATTTGTTTTCTTCTTTTAACGATAAAAACATTTTATTTCTTATCCTTATGGAAACTATGTATCCGAAAATTTCTTTTATCCCTTCAACCCTAAGTGTATACATATTTATTTTATTTTATTTTGAAGTTCCTCTACTGTCTTGGAAAAATCGGCTACATTTTTTGATATTACTAAACAGTAGTACAAATGAATTAGTTTTATTAAAAGTGAACATTTTGTTTTGTCAAAGTACTTTGTGCTTCATTTCCGTTTAATTTCTTTTTAACTAGATTTCATTGTTAGCAAAACACCTAAATTAGATTTAAACTGTGAATTTATCTCGTTGAAGTGTCACGTTTTAAATTAATCAGTAAGCCACGAAGTAAAACCTGTACGTATGTACATCGATTCAAGTTGCCATACCCCAATAGCACAGAGGGATGAAGTCAGGCCAAATCCCAGAATTATTTATTTATTTATTTATTTGAGCACATAAATATTGGTACAAGAGAGCGCCAATATATATGCGCCACACAAAACAATGAAAATTCGAAGAGAGAAAAGAAAAAAAACTAAGGAGCACAAAAGAAAAAGAGAACGATAACAAAGAGATTGGTGAAAGGTAGTGCGGTCGTAACGATGGAACGGAAAGGTACAATCGGAAGAAATCTTTCAAGTAAGGGAGACACAACCACTTTTTATGAAGAAAGTAAAAGAAGGTTACAGCAGGATCGCCACTGGCTTCTATTCTGAGCCATATCTGATAACGTCTCTAACCACTGTGTAGCACCATCTCTCAGACCCCAACCAGGGAGTCGTGAAGGACCGACAGAAGCCAGTCCTTTGCAGCTTTCTTTCATACCACGACACCATGTCATCCACTGACCACCTCTCCGCTTTTTCCAACCAGTCCCAGAGTCGGCAAACAATGCACGACGTGGAATTCTCTGGGACGACATTCGTAGAACATGTCCAAGCCACCGAAGTCGGTGTTTCAAGATGGTGACACCAATTGAATTATCATCTCTGTGCCCAAACACACGATGCCGAACCTCTGCATTACTAACATGGTGTTGCCACTGAATGTCAGCAATCCTTCGGAGACAGCGATGATCGAACACAGAGAGTCGTCTAACGTCCTCAACTCGGAGAGGCCAGGTTTCACAAGCATAGAGCAAAACTGCTCTCACCGACGCGTTGTAGATCCGACCTTTTACAGCCAGACTTACATCACGAAGGCGCCAAAGGTGGCCCAGATTGGCATAAGCCGCTCTGGCTTTCACTATACGTGCATTGATCTCATCACTCACACCCCCACCAGCACTTATGCAGCTACCCAGATACACGAACTTCTCGACTACTTCTATCTGCTCACCATCCAGGGTGAGTACAGGATTGGAATCCTGCCAGTCTTGTAGAAGTACTTTGCACTTCGAAGGTGCAAAACACATACCATACCTACGGACACTGATTGCCAACTGATTAAGTGCGGATTGCATGCCTTGGGCATTATCGCACAGTAAGACAATATCGTCCGCATACTCAAGGTCGAGAAGTCTTTCTCCAGGCAACAGATCCACACCACCATTACTTACATTCATCAGAGCTGTTTCCAGAATGTCATCGATGGCAAAGTTGAAGAGGAATGGTGAGATTGGGCAACCCTGCCTAACCCCACTACTCGTATAGAACAATGGAGAGAGGTGGTTGTATGCCCTCACTCTGCCTGAGGTGTTTTTATATAGGGCTTTTAGGATGTTAATAAACTTCTCAGGCACACCCTTCTTCAATAGACAATCCCAGAGAACAGTCCTGTCCAACGAATCGAAGGCAGCCCTGACGTCAAGAAACACTACGATTGTTGGCCTTTGATAAGTATGGCGATGTTCTAACATTTGGCGGAGGGTGAAGATATGATCAATACAACCTCGACCAGAACGAAACCCAGCCTGCTCCTCGCGAGTCAATCTTTCTCGGGTTTTGAACAACCTACGAAGTATGACGGAAGCCAATAGCTTGGACGCGATCGGAAGTAGACTTATCCCCCGATAGTTGTTGCAGGAACGACGTGAACCCTTTTTAAAGATAGGTACAACTATCGACTCATTCCATGACGTTGGTACACTCTCTAATTCCCAAACCTTTGTAAACAACGTCGTCAATTCCTTAGTCAAAAAGTCACCACCATCTTTAAAAAGAGCCGGAGGTAAGTCATCTGGGCCAGGTGATTTGTAACGCTTCAAGAGTTGGAGTTCCTTGCGGACTTCCTCCTCGTTCGGTGGATCAGTCGTCACCGGCCATGGAGGGCAGGACAGTCTGACCGATGTTGCCGGAGCAGCAGGCCAGTTGAACTGCCCTTCGAAAAATTCTGCCCATCGTCCAAGACGTCGATGGATGTTAGTGATTGGCATCCCATCATCCTCGCAGATTGTTTCACTCACACCAGACTTCTTGCTGCCAGTGGCTCGGATGAGCTGGAAGAGCTTCCGGTAGTTACCAGATGCAGCTGCTGCTTCCATCTCATTAGCACGCTCCGACCACCAGGCTTCTCGGTCCTTACGCAAGCTTTGCCCAATTTCCCTACGTAACATCCTTCGTTTATGGTCAAACTCACGGTCACCCGGAGTCGACCGACGGGCTTCAATAAGTTGTAAGGAACCAGAAGAAACCCAGTGCTTATAAGCGGGACGTTTCGCAAACCCACAACTGACTGTTCCCGCCATTTTCATGGCGTCATGCAATTGCAACCAATGCTCATCTATACTTTTCGGTGGAGTGGTAGCTAGCCTAGAAGCTAGCTCGGTTCGATACTTATTTGCAACAGAGGTTGCAACCAGCTTGCTAATATCAATCCTTTGGTGGTGGTCACTTCGTTGTCCACTGAAAAGTAAGGCAAGATTGGCGCAGACCAAGGCATGGTCAGAGTCCAGATAGGTACTCCAAAAGGAGCGGCAGTCTTTTACACAACCACGCCAGCGGAAGCTGATCGCGATGTGATCAATCTGAGTCCAGGCTTGGGATGCAGAGGGAGGACGCCAGGTGGCACATCGGCGATGACTGTGCCGAAAGTTAGTGCTAGCCAGAAACAGGTTGTGGTCTGTGCAAAGTTGCAGTAGACGGTCCCCGTTATCTGACCTGCGACCAACGAGTCCCCATCGGCCACCTAAACGACTCTCTTCTGTGCCTAGACGCCCGACCTGCGCGTTCAAGTCTCCGGCTAGTACTACAATATCTGTCGAACGCACTTTCTGGAGAAGAACAGACAGCTGGTGGTAAAACTCATCCTTGATTGCATCCGGGCTGCAATCTGTCGGGGCATAGGCGGAGATGACGAAAAGACATCGTTTCTCACGCCGATTTCTTCTCACTTTGATGGAACTTTCTAATCTAACAGCACATAACCGACTGTTAATGGGGATCCAATCGACTAGTGCTGCCTCAGCTCTAGCGCTTAGTGCGACACCAACGCCAGCAAGACCAGACGAAGATGCCACAGGGTCCCCGGATAAGCGCACGTGAAACAAGCTTTTCGAAGCGACAGATGGAGATCGAATTTGTAGTACTTCGCCAGAGTCTTGAATACGGGTCTCGGATAGACAACAAACATCAATATTGAGACTTTCCAAAGACATAGCCAGCCCTATCTGTTGTCCGACCTGCATTAGTGTGCGAACGTTGAAGGCAGCCAGTTTGAATGGTGCACGTGGTTTCAGAAAAACTGCTTCAGTTCTCGTATTCGGTGGTAACATACAATTTTCAACCGAACAGTGACTCGAGAACGTTTAGATACAGTCGAATTTCCACCAAAGACGAGCCGCTGTATAAGTATAAAGGAGGGTGAATAATGTGGAAAATAATAATAATAATAATAATAACAATAATGACAATAATGGTAATAATAATAATGGTATTAATAATGACAATAACAGTAATAATTATTTGAATCAATTGAATGTTGATCGGAGAGAGGAAATTAGTTGCCGTAGTCATAGAGTTCATTGTTTGTGTGTGGGCTGTGATACTGCCCGGGTGCCCAAACCGAAGCAGGTGGTTATCTTAGGGGGCCACACCCCGAGCCTTTGACCTAATGGTCTAACCCACAAGGCAGTGGAACATCGTGAGGAGATGCAATCCCATGGTAGCCGGTGACCAACGATTGGTTCATACGCCATTTGTTCCCGCAGGATACTGGAGCCCATGTGCACCATTGGTTTGTGATCCGGTTAAAGCGCCGGACGTTCGCTTTTCGTCCTCTCATTTTCGTAAACAACACCCCCGCCACGAGAAGGCAATGAGTAGGACTTCCCTGGCAGAGGCTGTATACGCGCGGCCGTGTGAGAGTATTTCGAGAGGGAGAGCGGACTCTCCCCACTCTCGGCCGTACCAGGGCGTTCGGGGGCCAGAATAGTAGAGGTAGTAACAGTATCAGAGGTAATAGGAAATATTAGGCATCGAAGACACTGCTCGTAAAGAAAATATAAACTAGCGAAATGAAAACAGAAAAAAAATTATGAGGAATTTAGAATCTTAGGAATCAGGGGAAGACAATAGATGGATAGACTTGCGCCGTTCCTAACGATTTTAAGTCATGTCATTCAAAGTCTCTAACTATTGGCTACAATAATCACGAAGACCCTAACCAGATAGTCCATACCTACTTACATGGGTGAGTCCAATTTTCATTGACCGATGTCCTGTTTTATTTTGGTTGCCCTCAGTTTTTTTCCAGCCTAGTCCTGCACCAGAAAACATTGCCCGTCAAGATAGGCG